GTGTGTGTGTGTGGTGTGTGTGTGGTGTGTGTGTGTGGTGTGTGTGTGTGGTGTGTGTGGTGTGTGTGTGGTGTGTGTGTGTATATGTCGTGTGTGTGTGGTGTGTGTGTATATGTGGTCTGTGTGGTGTGTGTGGAGTGTGGTGTGTATGGCGTGTGTGTATGTGTGGTCTGTGTGTGGTGTGTCTGCATGTATCACTGAGTTTGAGGGGAGGTGTGCCACTGCTCCTGATCTCCCTCCCTGTTCCCCTGCTGGAGTTGTCAATGGCCTGGAGCTGTGTCTCTCTGGGTGTGTGCATCACGTGCATGCAGTTGGAGGAGCCAGTGGGATCCTCCAACTTCCAGAGGGAGAAATAGTGTCCACGGAGCCCAGCGGAGGCTTGGCACAGAATGGGGAGTGAACAGAACTGCCAGCCCATACAGCAGCCTCTGTGCAGATGAGACAAAGGCACTCCCCACCTTGCCTAATCAGCTCTCCCAGGTCTATGGTTTGGCAGGCAGATGGCACCCTCGTGTGAGTTTGAAAGGGGCACTCCTTACCCCAAATGGATGCAGCCCCACTAGCACACGCCCTGGGGAGGAGAGCCCAGCAGGATTTCAGCCTCTCAGCCAGACCCCTTTGTGCAGTACACGACCTGCCCAACCCTACATGGCAGCCCTCAATGAATGAAGGAATCCACAATGCTGCATGCATGTGCCACTTCCGGAAGGGATGTGTCTCTGTGTGGGGGACAAAGGCATCCATGCTGTACAGGTCACAGTGCTCAGAGACCTGAGTTCAAAGCCCAGCCCCACTCTTTGGGCACCTTAGGGCTCAGGCAAACGATGGGACCTCTTGGAACCTCAGAGTCCTCATCTGAAATGAGTGTGTCAATACACATATATGTGGCCCGCAGAGATGACAGCTAGGAAAGTTGCAAAGCCAGTGAGGAAATGGGAGCATGTCTGGGGCTGCTGTTGCTACTAGGACAGGGAGACTGGCTGAAATGGCATGCCAGGGACACCCTGAAGGAAGGGAGAAAGGAGGCAGGTCAGACCAGGATCTGGTCTTCCCAGAGGAAGGAAACAGCAGGTGCACAGGCAGGAAGGTGGAGTGTCCTGAGCATGAACTTGGAAGGTATGAAGGGAAAAGAAAAGGATGAGAAGAGGAGCTCCTGGCAGAGTTGGGGTTTTATTCCAGGTGTGACGACAGGGAACCAGAGTGTGGACAGGGGAGTGGTTGATGCCATTTGAACTGTTTCCTTTTCTTTTTTTTTTTTTTTTTTTTTTTGAAATGGAGTCTCACTTTGTCACCCAGGCTGGAGTGCAGTGGTGCGATCTCAGCTCACTGCAACCTCAGCCTCCCGAGTTCAAGCAATTCTCCTGCCTCAGCTTCCCGAGTAGCTGGAATTACAGGCGCCAGGCTCATTTTTGTATTTTTAGTAGTGACAGGGTTTCACCATGTTTGCCGGGCTGGTCTTGAACTCCTGACCTCGAGTGATCCGCCTGTCTTGGTCTCCCAAAGTACTGGGATTACAGGCGTGAGCCACCATGCCAGTGCCTATTACCTTTTTAATTGTGGGAAATACACCATTTAACCATTCTCCAAGTGTCTGATTCGGTGGCATTAGCATATCTGTGAGGGTGTGCAGCCATGGCCATTATCTAGTTCCAGATATCTACTTATCTGGATTATCTACTTCCTCACCACACGAGGAAGACTGGCACCCATGAGTGGCCACTCCCATCCCCCTGTCCCCAGCTCCGGGCAATTATTAATCAGCTTTCTGTCTCTGTGGGTTTGACTATTGTGATATTTCATATTAGTGAAATCATACACTAAGTGAGCTTTATGGCTGGACTTTTCCACTGAACGTCATGTCTTCAAGGTTCGTGCATGCTGTGGTTTGTATCTCAGCTTTTGGTACCTGTCACGGTTTGTTGGGCGCTTGCATTGTTTCCAGTGTTTGGCTGTTGTGCAAGGTGCTGTCATGAACATTCAAGGATAAGTTTTTGTGTGGACACATGTTTTGAATTCTTTGGGGTAGACACAAGGCAGAGTGGAAGTGCATGGTAATTCTAGATAACTTTGTTTTATTGTTTGTTTGTTTGTTTGTTTGTTTTTGAGACGGAGTCTCACTCTGTTGCCCAGGCTGGAGTGCAATGGCATAATCTCAGCTCACTGCAACCTCCACTTCCCGAGTTCAAGAGATTCTCCTGCCTCAGCCTCATGAGTAGCTGGGACTACAGGTGCACGCCACCATGCCCAGCTAATTTTCTTTTTCTTTTCTTTTCTTTTTTTTTTTTTGTATTTTTAGTAGAGATGGGGTTTCATCATATTGGCCAGGCTGGTCTTGAACTCCTGACCTCAAGTGATCCACCCGCCTTGGCTTCCCAAAGTGCTAGGATTACAGGAGTGAGCCACCGCGCCTGGCCCAATTCTAGTTAACTTTTTAAGGAAGCGCCACACTGTCTCCCATGGTGTGGGTCAAGCCATTTCTAAGACTCCCATTAAACACCCAAGTGGACAGGTCCAGTGGGCAGTGGGGTATTCTAGCACTGAGTCAGGGGAGGGGTCCAAGCTGGAGCTGAAAAGGAAAGCTGAGGCCCCATGCAGGACGCGATGGAGCTCACTGAGGCTCTGGAAGGTTCACCTCCCAACCCTCTGCCCATCCCCACCAGCAGCAATGTTGTCTACAGTGGTGTGGTCCCTAGACACACACGATGGAAAGAGACGTATAATAGAAAATAACACCGAGTGATATGTATTGACTCAATCCCATCCACCCCCTCCATCGCTTTATGCTGCTTTCATTTCTTTACGGCTTCCTTCATCGTTCCTTTATATTTCTTCACAATTGGCGTCAACATGTGTCCCATTCATTTGTGTCCATCTGCTGACTGTCCCCCCTCACTAGCACGTAAACCCCCGTAAAGGCAGGAACCCTGTGGGCTTATTCACTGCTGCATCCTCAGCCCAGGGAGGCTGCTCAGGAGACATTTATTGAATGAAGATGTGCAGAACGAATGCACATCCTGCGCATCATGCCGGCTCCTGGGAAGCTCTATGGCAGCCTCTCGGCAGCTCGCTCAGGGCAGGCGCTGTTCAGATCAGGTTCTCGCAGACAGGAAACATAAGACTCCGTGAGTAGTCACCCCAGACCCCTAGGTTGTTCCTCCTGCAGGTAGAGCGCAGACGTTTCCTTCTCACCAGGCATCCTTCCCACCCCTATCAACCCTCTAGGTCCACGGGGGTGGGGGGCGTGTCTGGGACTTGGCTGGACTGTTGCCATAGAAACAGCTGGAAGACCTGCCCACCACCAACTCCCACCTCTCTTCTCCATCACCTTTTCTCTTTTGAGACAGGGTCTCACTCTGTCAACCCAGGCTGGAGTGTGGTGGTGCAATCACAGCTCCCTGCAGCCTTGATCTCTGGGGCTCAAGTTATCCTCCCACCTCAGCCTTCTGAGTAGCTGGGACTATAGGTGCGCACCACCACCCGCGGCTCATTTTTTATTTTTTATTATTTTATTTTATTTTATTTTATTTTTTGTAAAGACAGGGTTTTGCTGTGTTGGCGAGGCTGGCTGGTCTCCTGCTTGAGCGATCTGCCCACCTTGGCCTCCCAAAGTGCTGGGATTTACAGGCGTGAGCCACCACACCCAGACGACCCTTTCTCAGCCTGTATCTCCCTTCTGAATAGTTAGCAGCAGCAGCAAACACTTTCTTATGTCACCTGCAGTATGCCAGGCACTGTTCTAAGCTCTTTACACATATTTACTCAGTTCATCCTCCTGACCATTCAGAGATAACCATCCTCATCCCCATTTTACAGATGGGGGAACTGGGGCACAGGTAGCTTAGATAAGAACATGTCAGTGTCAGGCAGCCGGCAGGAGGTCCAGCCGGGTGATGAGCCACCCTGCTGTGGTTGTGGTTCAGCTGTGGACAGAGACACTTCAAACCTGACGCCATAAGCATGGTGTGCGTGCGTGTGCGTGTGCCTGTGTGAGAGGGGAACGAGACAGAGAGAGAGCACGCGAGAGAGCACCTGAGATCCGTTGATTACCAGATCTAAATAAAGGAGAGAAATTGGCATTTGGGGGCACTGAGGACAATATGGGTGTAAGTCAGTGGTTCTCCACGGGGGCCTCCTCGAAACAGGTGGACTTTTGGCAATGCCTGGAAGCATCTTACATTGTCACAACTCGGGGGGATGCGGTGCTCCCGGCATCGAGAGGGCGCTGCTAAACATCCCACAGTGCTCAGGACAGGCTCTCACCACAAAGCAGCATGGGTCCCCGAATGTCAGTGCTGATAAACCGTGCACTGCCTCTTCCCACTTGCCTGGTCTATAAACTCAAATTCTCAACTTCTCTCTCTCCTCCTCCCTCCCTCTCCTCCCCCTTCTCCTCCTCCCCTTCTTTTCTCCCTCCTTCCTCGTCTCCCTGACTCCTCCTTTCCCACCCACCCCTCATCTGTCTCCCTTCCTTCCCTCCCCGGCCCCCACTCCCCTCGACACCCTCCCTTCCCCTCCCCTCCCTTCCCTTCCCCTCGCCACCCTCCCCTCTCCTCCCCGCGCCTCCCTTCGGCTGCCTCCCCTGCCCTCTCCTCTTCTCCGCCCCCGTTTCTTCTCCTTAACATCGCGCCTCGCCTCGCTTCTCGTCCTAATGTCTGCACACCCCTCTGGTGTCTGTCGACCCTCCCAATCGCTTCTCCCGCATTCATCTCTCGCCTGATCCCGGTTCTGTCCGCCCATGCTCATTTCTCTCCCCCAGCCGTGCCCAGGCGCGTTTCCATTGCTCTCCCATTGTCGCCCACCGCGCGTGGGGCGGCCAACTTGGGCCCACGCAGCTCAGCTCCCTCCGCCCTTCCTGCCTCCTGGAGCCTGTTGCTCCCCACACTCTGCCGGCCCCCGCCCGCCCTCCCCAGCCTCTCTGCCCACCCATCTCCACGCTTCTCACCCTCTGACCGGCTCTCTCCCGCCCAGCGCTCCAACCTCTGCTCTCGTTCTCCCCGCAGCCTGGCGGCCCGGTGCGACCCCTGCACGCCCCATGCCGGCCCTCCTGCTCCTCGTACTCCTGGCCTCTAGCGCCGGCCAGGCCGGGGCGCGCCCGTCCAACGCCACGAGCGCCGAGTCCGCGGGCCCGCTGCCCGCCCTGCTGGCGCACCTGCGGCGCCTGACCGGGGCGCTGACGGGTGGCGGGGGCGCAGCGAGCCCGGGCGCCAACAGCACGAGGACCGGCCCCGCGAGCGGAGCGGGCGCGGCGGCCCGGGCGCCCCCTCCCGCCGAGCTCTGCCACGGCTACTACGATGTCATGGGCCAGTACGACGCCACCTTCAACTGCAGCACCGGCTCCTACCGCTTCTGCTGCGGCACCTGCCACTACCGCTTCTGCTGCGAGCACCGTCACATGCGCCTGGCGCAGGCCTCCTGCTCCAACTACGACACGCCGCGCTGGGCCACTACGCCGCCGCCGCTAGCCGGGGGCGCCGGGGGCGCTGGGGGTGCGGGCGGGGGGCCAGGGCCCGGCCAGGCCGGGTGGTTGGAAGGGGGCCGGACGGGGGGTGCCGGGGGCCGCGGGGGCGAGGGCCCCGGTGGCAGCACAGCCTACGTCGTGTGCGGGGTCATCAGCTTCGCCCTGGCCGTGGGAGTCGGCGCCAAAGTGGCCTTCAGCAAGGCGTCCCGTGCGCCCCGGGCGCACCGGGAGATCAACGTGCCCAGGTGCGTGTGCTCTGGGGCGGGAGGACTGCGAGCCTGGGGCGGGGCCCAGCAAGGGAGGTGGAGCCGTCCAAGGAGGAGGGGCTACAGGGATTGGGCGTCTTCAGAGACCCAGGTGGCGGCCTCCGGAGGAGCTGAAGGTGGGCAGGGGCTGAGAAAGCCGTGCCAGAGCCGACCCCGCTATTGCGGAGTGATGCAGGGAGCGGGAGAAGCTCAGGCTCTCATTCATCGACACATATTTCTTGAGTATCTTCTGTGGGCCAGGAGCTGGGGATACAGGAGTGAACAAAACAAGGTCTCTGCCATGGTGGAAAAGCCTAACTTCCAAATCCAAGTTCACGGCCCACAGGCTGTGTGACAGTGGACGGGTTACTTAACCTCTCTGTGCCTCAGTTTCCCGTCCGCACAATGAGACTAATCATCGTCCCCACCTATTCGGATTGTAATTAACTGAGTTGATTCGTGCAGAGTCCTGGCATACCGTAAGTGCTCATTAAATATAAGCGGCCCAGTCCGTAAGCAGGCAAATGCGTGTGCTGTATAATTTTAGATGACTGCTGTGAAGAAAATCAGCGGAAAGTGTGGAGGGAGGGGGCGCTGGATTAGAGGAAGGGATCCGAAAAGGCCTCTGAGCAGAGACCCAAAGGGAGGGAGCGAGCCACGCAGGGATCTGTGGGCGAGAGGTTTGGGGCAGGGGAACTGCGTGCAAAGGCCCTCGGTGGCCTTCAGGGCAGGGAAGTGCCCGTGCAGCTGGGGGCGGTGGGCAGCAGGAGGTGAGGAGAAGCAGGTGGGCCCGGGTTTATTCTAAGTGTGATGGGGCCACTGCAGGGTCCTGAGGTCAGGCGTGATGCCATCTGTCCATTTTAAAATTATGCGAGCTGCGTGTGAGACTGGGTTGTACGGGGCTAGGGTGGGAGGGGGGAGACCCGTGAAGGGGCTGTTGCAATGATCCAGGCGAGAGATTTCAGAGGTGGTGAGTAGTGGTCCGATTTGGGATATGTTTTGGAGGTTCGATCCGTAGGATTACTGAAAGGGATGAAGTGGGGGGAAAAAAGAAGAGTCAAGGTGATTTAATGTTTGAGGTCCGCATCACTGGGAAAATGGAGCACCCTTTGTTGCCATGGGGAAGGCTGCAAAAGGAACGGGAATGGGGTCCCAGATTCAGGGTGGGGTGAGCCCACAGGGAAGTGAGAGGGACCACAGAAGGGGTGGGGTCCACACGAGTTAAGGCAGCAGCGCTTCAAGCAAGAAGCGTGGCCCGAGAAAGGGGGTCGTTCGAGGGGGCGTGGCTAACGAGAAACGGGAGTGGCCAATGGCGAAAAAAGCAGGCTGAGTGACAGGTTACCCAAGGGCGAGAGCAGGGAGCGGAATGAAGCCTGGGCCCTCCCTGTACCCCTACCGCCCCCAGACCCCAGGCTGCTGACCACCTCTCTGCCACCTTTAGAGCTCTGGTGGACATTCTGAGACATCAGGCGGGGCCTGGGACCCGCCCGGACCGGGCCCGAAGCAGCTCCCTGACCCCGGGGATCGGCGGTCCCGACAGCATGCCCCCCAGGACGCCCAAGAACCTCTACAACACCGTGAAGACCCCCAACCTCGGTGAGTGGAACGTGGGATCCGGCGCAGCCTCCGTCTCTGGCCACGCCCCCTCATCCTGTAGCCCCGCCCTCCATGGCGGCTCCACCCCCATGACCCCGGACCCGCCCTCACCCCTCTACGCCCGCCTGGCACCGCCGAGTCCTGCGAAAGGCGGACGGGGGCTGGGAACTCCGTAGAGACCCAGACCACCTCCTTGCCCTCCTGTGCGCTCCAGTGGGTGGGCTCCATGGGCACCTTGGTGATGTAGGTTTAGACTTTCTCAAGCCCCTGCGCTCAGTGTCAGACCACCCGACAGCCAACAACACACAAGGGCTCAACTACCAAATTCGAATTTGTCAAGAGCCAGACCGACTGGGTTTGAATCCTGACTCTGCCACTGTGTGACCCGGGTCAAGTGACTTCACCTCTGTGGGCCTCAGTTTCTCCATCCGTAAAATGAGAAGCATGACAGTACTCACTTGATGGGGTTATTGTGAAGAGCAAATGAATTGGTGAGACAGGTGTTTAGAATAATGTGTAACACAGGCAAAAATACCATGTTAAGGGTGGGCTATTGCTGTTGTTAAATATATATAATTATATCTTTAAAATAGGATATATCATATTTAATATATATTACTTAAATATGATCTATATCATTATAATTTATGATGAGTGCATCAGTGGAGAAGTCCAAGGAGCTGTCAGGGGGACTGAGAAGATGTGGTCTGGTTCGGGGGCAGGAGGGCTTCTCTGAGGAAGAGGTATTTGAGCAAAGGCCTGGAGGAGGAGAGGAGTTACTGGGGCTGGGAAGCTCTGAGTAGCAGAGCTTGTGAGGTGGCCAGACTTGAGGACAGGGAGAGGGTGGTTGGTGACCTCCAAGAGGGCCTTGAGTGCCAGGCTGAGCTAAGGAGCTCTGCCTCTGTCCTGAGGGTAATGGAGAGCTGCAGAGGAGTTCGAGCAGAGGAGCAACACAGTCAGCAGTGGGTGGAAGAACTGGTCCTCTGGAACCCATGCGAAGGGGAGAGATGAGAGGAAAGAGGCCCAGGAGGAGGCTGGGATGATGGTCCAGGCAGCCAGAGGACGAGGACGGAGCTGGGGTCAGGGGTGGAGAGGAGAAGAGACATTTGAGCTGGATCTTGAGGCAGATGGGAAGAAGGGCTTCAAGGCAGTGAGAACAGCATGGTGGCATGTGCAAAGGCCCTGTGGCAGGACCACACTGGGCTCACTGGAAAGAGCAACGTGGCTTGAGGGAAGGGATGGGAGATGGGGCTGCAGACATCCAGTGGGTCCAGGTTTTGAAGCCTCAAACACCATTCCTGGGTTCAACTTTGTCCCGTGGGTGATGGCGAGCCATGGGAAGGCTCTTGAGCAGTGGAAGGGCAGTTACTTCGGTGAGGCTGATCATGGAGATGGATGGGCTGGATGGCCAGAGGCTGCTCTGGCAATCCAGGAGGGAGAGGACAGATCAGGGCAGAGATTCAGATATCAAGAGGAACCAAGAGGACATGGGTGGGAGGTGAAGAGAGGTAGCAAGGTGACCCCCTCAGATCTCTAGCCTGGGCACCAGGGAGGGGGGTGCTTGGAGCTTGGGACAGACCACTTACCCATCCCTGAGCCTATGCCCACTCTTTCCACCTTCAAGACCCCCAGCCTCAGTTCATGTGGCCAATGGCATGGGTTGATCTGTGGAGCTCTAACGAGGTCCTGCATGTGGGGCCAACCTTGGGGCCAGAGTCCTTCCCAGAGATCAGGGCCGCGGTGCCAGCTGGGGGTCAGCGATGGCAGTGACGTCACCTCCCTTCTCGGTCCCCCCAGATAATCTGCACCACAACTACCTGCACCTCAACGTCAACAGCCCCAAGCACCACGCCGCCACACTGGGTACGGATGAGGGGCTGGCTGCGGGAAAGAGCAGGGCTCCTTCCCTTCCCGCTTTGTGTTGGGCCAGCCATGCCAGGTGCCCAGTGTAGAGCAGGAGCGAGACCACTGTGAGCTCAGTCCTCATGGCGCTCATGGTCTGGCCAGGTCACCAAGTGAACCTGCCTCCTCGTGTGGACGCCGAAAGTGGCATCTCTCTCCCACATGGTTGAGGAGAAGGTGCATGGAGCCTGGGGCCAGGCACTCAGTGAATGCTGACAAATGCCTGGTGCCCCCTTCTCGGGGCCCTCTTCCCCAGCATCAAGCCTGTCTCCTGGAGAGGAGGGGGTGGGGTGAGAAGAGGGAGCTTGAACTGCTGGAATTATGATGGGCTACAATCTCAGATTTCTAACTGCCCAAAGAACTGCTGGGTCTGAGGGAGGAGGGGCTGGGGGCCTGGACTCCTGGGTCTGAGGGAGGAGGGGCTGGATGCCTGTTTTCCTGAGTCTGAGGGAGGAGGGAGCTGGGGCCTATACTCCTGGGTATGAGGTAGGAAGGGCTGGGAGCCTGGACTCCTGGGTCTTAGGGAGGAGGGGGCTGGGGTCTGGACGCCTGGGTCTGAGGGAGGAGGGGCTGGGCCTGGACTCCTGGGTCTGAGGGAGGAGGAGTTTAGGCCTGGATTCCCGGGTCTGAGGGAGGAGGGGCTGGGGGCCTGGACTCCTGGGTCTGAGGGAGGAGGGGCTGAGGCCAGGATTCTTGGGTCTGAGGGAGGAGGGGCTGGGGGCCTGGACTCCTGGGTCTGAGGGAGGAGGGGTGGAAGTCTGGACTCCTGGGTCTGAGGGAGGAGTGACTGGGAGTCTGGACTCCTGGGTCTGAGGGAGGAGGGGCTGGGGGTCTGGACTCCTGGGTCTGAGGGAGGAGGGGCTGGAAGTCTGGACTCCCGGGTCTGAGGGAGGAGGGCCTGGGGACCTGGACCCCCGGGTCTGAGAGAGGAGGGGCTGGGGGTCTGGACTCCCGGGTCTGAGGGAGGAGGGGCTGGGGGTCTGGACTCCCGGGTCTGAGGGGGGGGGGGGGGGGGGGGGGGGGGGGGGGGGGGGGTTGAGGGAGGAGGGGCTGGGGGTCTGGACTCCCGGGTCTGAGGGAGGAGGGGCTGGGGGTCTGGACTCCCGGGTCTGATGGAGGAGGGGCTGGGGGCCTGCACTCCTGGGTCTGAGGGAGGAGGGGCTGGGGGTCTGGACTCCCGGGTCTGAGGGAGAAGGGGCTGAGGCCTGGATTCCTGGGTCTGAGGATGGAGGGGCTGGGGCTTGGACTCCTGGGTCTGAAGGAAGAGGGGTTGGGTTTCTGGACTCCTGTGTCTGATGGAGGAGGGGCTGGGAGCCTGGACTCCTGGGTCTGAGGGAGGAACCTGACTGACCCTGGCCCTGCCCCCTCTAACCCAGACTGGCGAGCCTTGCCGCCGCCCAGCCCCTCCTTGCACTACTCCACGCTGTCCTGCTCTCGGTCCTTCCACAACCTCTCGCATCTGCCCCCGTCCTACGAGGCTGCTGTGAAGTCCGAGCTGAACCGCTACTCCTCCCTCAAGAGACTGGGTGAGTCCTAGCAAGGGCAGCGGGCGGTGACGGGGAGGGGCGGGGCCAGAGTCTGGGTTCAGGACCATGGACAGTGGCCCAAGCGCCTTCCAGTGCTTTAGATTCTCTCCCAGGTTTTACTAACCAAGTTCGTTCTAGAATTACCTGATGTACTTTTGTATCAGAATCACTTCTGGTTTGCTTCTTTTAAGTGCAACCTTCTGGTCTCCCCTCCCAGGACTTATTATTGTATTAATCAGGACTTGGACTTGCAATTAATAGAAATACAACTTAAGTTGCCGGGCGCGGTGGCTCAAGCCTGTAATCCCAGCACTTTGGGAGGCCGAGACGGGCGGATCACGAGGTCAGGAGATCGAGACCATCCTGGCTAACACAGTGAAACCCCGTCTCTACTAAAAATACAAAAACTTAGCCGGGCGAGGTGGCAGGCGCCTGTAGTCCCAGGTACTCGGGAGGCTGAGGCAGGAGAATGGCGTAAACCCGGGAGGCGGAACTTGCAGTGAGCTGAGATCCGGCCACTGCACTCCAGCCTGGGTGACAGAGCGAGACTCCGTCTCAGAAAAAAAAAAATAAAAAAAATAAAAAAAAAAAAGAAATACAACTTAAGTTAAAGGAAAAAAAATACGTTGACTTGATCATGGAAAGTCTACAGGTCACCAGATTGCAATGTAGCCGCTGTGGGGGCCCAAGAGCTGTCTCTTAGCTCTCTACGCAACCGGCGGGCCTCATTTTCAGACAGTCTCCCCTTGTGGTGGAGACGATCGCCCTGCAGATGTTCAGGCTGCCGTTCTACCAGCTCAGGGACCCTGGCAGAAAAGAGTCTCTGGCAACAATTCTGGCAAAAAATCCCAGGCCTGGATGCCACTGGTGCAAGTTGGGCCACATGCCCATCCCCGAACCCATTCCTGCGACTCTCAAGGACATTTTGCAGTCTGTGGCCCATCTCTGGCAGTGGAGCAGCCTTCAAACATCTTAAAATGAGAGCCTCACTAGGAAACACTTGTTCTTCTTTGTTACCATTATGTTTTCAAGACAGGGTCTCACTCTGTCACCCAGCCTGGAATGTAGTGGCATGATCATAGCTCACTGCAGCCTCTACCTCCCCAGGCTCAAGCGTGATCCTTCCGTGTCAGCCTCCCGGGTAGCTGGAACTAAGAGCTTGTGCTGCCATGCCTGGTTAATTTTTGTATTTTTTGTGGAGACGGGGTTTCACTGTGTTGCCCAGGCTGGCCTCAAACTCCTGGGCTCAAGCAAGCCACCCACCTCAGCCTCTCAAAGTGCTGAGATTACAGGCATGAGCCACCATACCCAGCCAGAAACTTTTTTTTTTTTTTTTTTTTTTTTTTTGAGACAGAGTCTCGCTCTGTCGCTCAGGCTGGAGTGCAGTCGCATGATCTCGGCTCACTGCAACCTCCACCTCCTGAGTTCAAGTGATTCTCCTGCCTTAGCCTCCTGAGTATCTGGGATTACAGGTGCATGCCACCACGTCTGGCTAATTTTTGTATTTTTAGTAGAGATGGGGTTTCACCATGTTAGTGAGGCTGCTCTCAAAGTCCTAACCTTGTGATCCACCTGCCTCGCCTCCCAAAGTGCTGGGATTACAGGCGTGAGCCACTGTGCCCAGCGTTTTTTGTTTTGTTTCATTTGGTTTGTTTTTTTTGAGATGGAGTTTCACTCTTGTTGCCCAGGCTGGAGTGCAATGGCACCATCTCAGCTCACTGCAACCTCTGCCTCCTGGATTCAAGTGATTCTCCTGCCTCAGTCTCCAAAGTAGCTGGGATTACAGGCATGCGCCACCACTCCCAGCTAATTTTTGTATTTTTAATAGAGACGGGGTTTCACCATGTTGGCCAGGCTGGTCTTGAACTCCTGACCTCAGATGACCCACCTGCCTCAGCTTCCCTAAGTGCTGGGATTACAGGCGTAAGCCACCGTGCTTGGCCCAGAAACGATTTTCATATTGTGACCCGTGAGACACACACACACATATATGTATATATTTTTAATTACAGGAAAGCTTTGAAATTTTTTATTACAAACATTTGCAAACATATATGCAAGTAGAGAAAATTACAAAATGAGCCCCAGGTTCCCATCACTCAGCCTTAATAATTAGCCACATTTTGTTAATCTATACTCCCTCCACCCCACTTTTTGGTGGATTCTTTTTGTTTGTTTGTTTGTTTGTTTGTTTTAAGAGACAAGATCTCACTCTTTTGCCCAGGCTGGAGTGCAGGGGTGCAGTCATGGCTCACTGCAGGCTCTACTTTCTGGACTCAGGCAATCTTCTGACGTCAGCCTCCCAAGTAACTGGGACTACAGGCATGAGCCACCATGCTTTAGCTAATTTTTTTTTTTTTTTTTTTTTTTTTTTTTGAGACGGAGTCTCGCTCTATCGCCTAAGCTGGAGTGCAGTGGCCAGATCTCGGCTCACTGCAAGCTCCACCTCCCCGGTTTATGCCATTCTCCTGTAGTGGCGGCTACTACAGGTGCCCGCCACCTCGCCCGGCTAGTTTTTTTTGTATTTTTTAGTAGAGATGGGGTTTCACCATGTTAACCAGTATGGTCTCGATCTCCTGACCTCGTGATCCGCCCATCTCGGCCTCCCAAAGTGCTGGAATTACAGGCTTGAGCCACCCCACCTGGCCTAGCTAATTTTTTTTTTTTTTTTTTTGTAGAGATGGGAGTCTCACTATATTGCCCAGGTTGGTCCTGAACTCCTGGGCTCAAGAGACCCTCCTGTTCAATCACCCAAAGTGCTGGGATTACAGGAGTGAGCCACCTTGCCTGACCTTGGTGGATTCTTTTAAACTAAATCTCATCCTTTAATATTTCAATCACACACACGCGTCTGAAGTAAGAATTTCATGAACCATCACTTACCTCCGATTCCCTTATTACATAAACACTTTCTGATAGTTTTCTCTCTTTTTTTTTTTTTTTTTTTTTTTTTTTTTTGAGACGGAGTCTCGCTCTGTCGCCCAGGCTGGAGTGCAGTGGCTGGATCTCAGCTCACTGCAAGCTCTGCCTCCCAGGTTCACGCCATTCTCCTGCCTCAGCCTCCCGAGTAGCTGGGACTACAGGCGCCCGCCACCTCACCCGGCTAGGTTTTTTTTGTGTGTGTGTATTTTTTAGTAGAGACGGGGTTTCACCGTGTTAGCCAGGATGGTCTCGATCTCCTGACCTCGTGATCCGCCCGTCTCGGCCTCCCAAAGTGCTGGGATTACAGGCTTGAGCCACCGCGCCTGGCCCCTAGTTTTCTCTTCTGGTCTATTTGATTTCATTTTTCAAAATGCTGCTCCCTACCCGCAAAATCAACTTCACAGCGTAACAGGTCACAACTCCAAGTGTGAGTCACATTGCCCCAGGATGAGAGGGGATCAGTGGTCCCCCAAAAGCAAGAGTTGGATTGGGTTCTACTCCCAAAAAGGGATACGCAGAGGCAAGGGAGAAGAGGAGGAAGTCCTCCACATCTACTGACCCAGCATTGTGAGCTGGGCCTGGGAATCTGCATTTTGGCCACACAGCTAACCTGATGCCCGGGATCCTTGTGGGGCGACAGACCTGCATGGGAGCGGGGTGTGAGGAGGTGGGAGGGGGAGGGCTCTGGATGCGCAGGGGACCCACCGCTGTGGCTTTTCCCCCTCTCCCCGCAGCCGAGAAGGATCTGGACGAGGCCTACCTGAAGCGCCGGCCCGTGGAGTTGCCCCGCGGCACGCTGCCCCTGCACGCGCTGCGGCGGCCGGGCACCGGGGGCGGCTACCGCATGGAGGCCTGGGGCGGCCCCGAGGAGCTGGGCCTGGCGCCCGCGCCCAACCCCCGGAGGGTCATGTCCCAGGAGCACCTGCTGGGCGATGGCGGCCGTTCGCGCTACGAGTTCACGCTGCCGCGGGCGCGCCTCGTGTCGCAGGAACACCTGCTGCTGTCCTCGCCCGAGGCCCTGCGCCAGAGTCGCGAGCACCTGCTGTCGCCCCCGCGCAGCCCCGCGCTGCCCCCCGACCCCACCGCCCGGGCCAGCCTGGCCGCCTCGCACTCCAACCTGCTGCTGGGGCCCGGGGGGCCCCCCACACCGCTGCGCGGGCTGCCGCCGCCGTCCAGCCTGCACGCCCACCACCACCACGCCCTGCACGGCTCGCCGCAGCCCGCCTGGATGTCCGACGCCGGCGGGGGCGGGGGCACGCTGGCCCGCAGGCCGCCCTTCCAGCGCCAGGGCACGCTGGAGCAGCTGCAGTTCATCCCGGGCCACCACCTGCCCCAGCACCTGCGCACGGCCAGCAAGAACGAGGTGACTGTCTGAGGCCAGGGCCGGGGCTGGGGGGCTGCGGCCTCCCGGGCCCCCCGTCCCAGCCGGGATCCCCCGACACAGGCGCACACACGCCAGGGGCCTGGGGCCCAGATCAGCCCTTGGACAGGAGTCAAAGCCTCCTTCCGGGATGTCCTGGCAGACAAGATTCCTCCTCCTATTAGGTCACTGCTTGAGCCAAGGCCTCCTTCCCATGATGTCATCCCAGAGGAAGAGGCTGGCCCATGACGTCATCGCTAGCAAAAATGTCTGTGTTCTGTGATGTCATCACAGGGACAAAGCCTCCTTCCCATGAGGTCATCCCAGAGGAAGAGGCCGGCCGGTGAGGTCCTCGCTGGAGGCCATGTCCATGTTCTATGGGGTCCTCAGAGGCTTCCTTCTTGTGGTGTAATAACAGAGATGATGCCTTGCCCCATGGCATTCGATCCTGTGGTGTCACTGCAGAGACAATCTCACCTCTAACTCCAAGGCCTCTTTTGGCATCATCGCCGTGGGGAAGAGATTTTCTCCCTGTGTCTTTGCAGCAGAGAAGATGCCTGTGTCCTATGATGTCATCGTTACGGACAAAGCCATCTTCCTGGGACACGTCGCAGGGGAAAATGCCTCACCAATGTGTCCTCACTAGACCCAAGGTCTCCTTTTCACCACGTCATCACAGGGACCCCGCCTCCTTCCTGTGATGCCATCACCAGAGAAGGTGCCTTGCCCTATGACGTCATCAGAGGGACCGTGCCTCTTCCTGTGATGTCATCACCAGAGATGACCACCCACTCTGGGACCTCTCCAGGAGCAGGCCCCTTCTGCACTGTCGCCCAGAGGCTACGTGCTCTGAGATGGCACGAGGAGAGGCCTCCATTGCTGCCACCATGTTGTAGAAGGCAGGGCAGGCCCAGAGTCCAGGACAACCCCAGGGAAGATGCCAGGGAGCAGAGAGGAGCCCTGTCCTGAGATGTTGTCTAAAGGAAGCATCGCTGGGGAGCTGCCCATGTGGAGGGCCTCCTCCAGAAATGATGGTCTGTGTAGGCTGTTGGCAGTGAACCCCCTACCCCAGTGCTGTGATGGCATCACCAGAGCTTCCTCCTCAGAGGCACTGCCCACTCTGGGAGGCCATCGGTATTGATGGTGTCACCAGAGTTACTGCCTTGTCCCACCATGACTTAGCTTGGTTGCTCCCTCCCCAAACCCAAGGGACATGCCCAGCAGGATCTCTGCTAGACCCTCTAAGAGGAAATGGGGCCTTGGATCCCATACCTGTGCTATGACTCCTGGGAGACAGAACCACCAGATGCCCTTCTGCTCCCAGGAGGCCACTCTGGATCACCAGGATCCTGGAGTCCTGGCACTCATAGGTGTCCTATAGCCTGGCCTCACTCTTCTTTCTGCCATATCTAGAGACAATCGCCTCTGTCAACAAAGTCCTAGCCTTCTACTGGGGGGAGGTGCTTGAGGTACACCTACTCTTGCCCTCACTGACACTGTCAGCACCACACAATACCCGCCACTCATGATGGCACTGCACCCGGGGTCAAGTGTTACCCATGTCTGAGGATGGAATCCTTTCCCAGGATTCCCTATGACCCCCAACTATGGTAACATCTTCTTCCAGGATTTACCATGACTAATGGTGTCACTATCTCCCAAGACTCTCCATAGCCAACGGTGTCACCACCCTCCATGATTCCTCACAACCACGGTGTCATCATCTTTCAGGAGCCACCACAGCTGACGATGTCATCATTTCCTAGATCCCACCATGACCAATGATGACATTACCTTCCAGAATCCACTATGCCTGACACAGACATCCTCTACTGAAATCCACTAGGACTGATGATGCCACCATATCCCATAATCCCTCATGATTTTGGTGTCATCACCTCCCATGACAGAACCATGGTGTCATCCTCCCAGGATCCACTTCAACCATGGTGTCATCATATCCCAGAATTCATTACACCTAAGAGTGTCATGATGTCATCACCTGCCAGATCCACTTTAACCGTGTGTCTTCATGTCCCAGGAGTCACCATAGCTATTATCAGTTCTCAGGATCCACTCCAACCATGATGTTATTATCTCCCAGGATCCATGAGATCCAATGCTGTCACCACCCACTAGGATCCACCATAACCCTATGTCATCATCTCCCAGGATCCATGAGGTCCAGTGCTGTCACCACCCACTAGGATCCACTTCAACCCTGGTGTCATCGTCTCCCAGGATCCATGAGGTCCAGTGCTGTCACCACCCACTAGGATCCACCATAACCCTGGCGTCATCATCTCCTGTGATCCATGAGATCCAACGTTGTCACCACCCACTAGGATCCACCATAACCCTGGTGTCATCTCCCAGGATCCATGAGGTCCAATGTTGTCACCATCCACTAGGATCCACCATAACCCTGGTGCCATCATCTCCTGTGATCCATGAGATCCAGTGCTGTCACCACCCACTAGGATCCACCATAACTCTGGTGTCATCCCAGAGTCCACTGCAACCATGTGCCATTACCCCCCAAGAGCCATCATCTTAGGAGCCAAGTACCATGACGGGCTGTATTTCAGTTGTCCTCTGGGGCCGCATGGTACTTACAGTAGTTCACTTAAGGGGAACCAGCATAACAGGCCATATTCCCGTTTCCACAAAAAGGACAGGGGCGGGGCCAGCTGCCCCCCTCTGATGACTTCACCCCCACTCTGGCCCTCCTTATGTCACTGCCTCACTCCTGACTGAGGATGTTGCCTGGATCAACCCCACCACAGATGTGGCCTCAGCCAACCTCACCTTACCCCCGGTGAGGCACCCAGGCCCCTCCTGACAGCAGCGCTGCCCCTCACCCAGCCATCTGACTGGTGACAGGGTCAACCCAGAAACCTCTCATCATCACCAGAGGGGAAGCATTTCAACCCTCAGGTGACACCACTGCCCCCTGCCCAGTCCCTGTCACTGGGGCCCCTACCAGGATCAGCTCTCTGCTGGCCCCGGCCAAATTCTCCTCAGATATCCCCGACCCCCGCAGGATGGGCCACAGCTGGTGACCAACCTGGGGCCTTCAGGGCTGTCTTCTGCTGGCCACATCCTGCAGCAGGGACGCTGGAGAGCAACGGTCCCTGCCAGCACATCTGCAGGGGCCAGGGGTGCTCCTTCACCTCCCTCCCTAACACCCTAACACCGGGGGAGCCTCCAGGGGCGGCAGGAAGTCCCCAGCACCCACTGCACAATCTGCCCTCAATTCTCTTTGTACATAGCCATGTTGCGGGGGCGGCCATTCCCCCACTCTTAAAGGGCTACACGCCCCTCCCCCAGCCCCTAGGGCAAGGTGGGGGGGGTCTCTTCTTCCTCCCCTGGGCCGTCCCCCTCCCTCTTATGTCTCCCCGCAAACACTGGCACCTCACCCTCCTTCTTGTCAGGAGCTTGGGGCAAAGAGCTGGCCCTTGGCTCACACCACAGCGAGGAAACAGCACACTGAGGAAACGGGGCGGTTACCCAAATCTACCTAGGCCCTGGTGCCAGTTCTTCAACCCCACAGCTTCTAGCTGCTCTGAGGAGCTTCTCCCATCCCTTCCGGGGCCTCCCCAGCCCGACACCGCTCAGGCCGACTGTGACTTCCCCAGAAAGGAGCCAGCTTGAGCGCCCAACCCCTCGCAGCCCCCACCCAGTCCCCTCCCCTCTGCTCCACACCTCCGTGGAACACTCAGCTTTCTCCAGCCGCCAGGATTTGGGGGTTCGGGCCTTTCAGCTTTTGTATCCCCCTCCACTAGCTCTAAGCCAGCCTGGATTCCAGGAATCCCGCCCCCAGCCCTGTCCCCATTCAGGCGGCACAGGCTGCCTGACCCTGGGGCCTTGATCTGACCTCAAATAAGCCATAGAGGGGAGAAGTCTTGAGGGGTGGGAGCCGGTGTGTACTGACAATTCCCCTCCACGTGTCCTGAGCTGGGACCTTGTCATCTGCCCCAACACATGCAAATGCACACAAATCCATGCATACACAAGCACGCACAAACACGCACACACACACACAGGCATCTCCCTTTCTGGCTGGGGGAGCATGGGAGGGGGCGGTTCACAGGGAGAAGATAAATAGTTCCACACCTGAAGACCCTCCAACAGCTTCTGCCTCCCTCCTCCTCCCTTCCTTTCTCCACTCCCCTCTCCAACACTGGCCCCTTCCCCAAACTGATTCCCTGGTGAGGAAAGCCAGAGGAGCTGTGACTTGGTATTTTTTGGAATAAATAGACATTTTCCTGATCGAAGTTCTCAAGGCTTACTGTGGAGAAAGGATGGATTTCCATCCATGTTTGTGGGTCACAGGGGAGGCCCCCTGGCCTCCAACGTGTAGCTGGGTGTAGCAGGTGGGCAATGTGCCAAAGGATGGGCTTCTAAGCATTTGTTCCCAGGCCAGGGCCCACCACCAAGAGGAGGGGTCAGGGACTGGAGGTGGGGGTGCACTGTAGGGTGCTTCTAAGTTCTGGGTTTTGTTCTAAGCCCTCTGTCATGCCGGGCGCGGTGGTTCACGCCTGTAATCCCAGCACTTTGGGAGGCCGAGATGGGCGGATCACAAGGTCAGGAGATCGAGACCATCTTGGCTAACACGGTGAAACCCCAGCTCTACTAAAAATAAAAATAAATTAGCCAGGCGTGGTGGTGGGCGCCTGTAGTCCCAGCTACTCCGGAGGCTGAGGCAGGAGAATGGCGTGAATCCAGGAGGCAGAGCTTGCAGTAAGACAAGATCGCGCCACTGCACTCAAGCCCGGGTGACAGAGCGAGACTCCATCTCAAAAACAAACAAACAAACAACAACAACAGAGAAAACACCTTATGGCTCACAGTTCTGGAGGCCGGAAGTCCAACATCAAGGAGGTGGCAAGCCGGCCAGGCGCGGTGGCTCACGCCTGTAATCCCAGCACGTTGGGAAGCCGAGGCAGGCGGATCACCTGAGGTCAAGATCAGCCTGGCCAACATGGCAAAACCCCATCTCTACTAAAAATACAAAAAAAAAAAGTTATCTGGGTGT